TACCCACCCGGGTCCACAAACGTCCACAATAGACTCGCTAGAGGCCACGCTTATTGTCAAGCGGACGGCACAGCCCCTACCAGTACAGCTCTGACAAACCTTGAAGCTGGAGGGTGGTGGTGCGCAGACAATCTCCAGCGTACTACTACAGTGACGGCTGCGGTTTTGTAAGTTTGTTGTTGCTGGTGCATCCCATGTGTTTATTTGTGCGCAGGGACCCCTTCTCGCCGTGTGGCGACGTTGTGAAGCTGGTTTGTCATTCTAGCCAGGGCAGTGCGTCTAGAGCTTTATTCAGATCGCCTTCAGCAATGACGACAGAGAAAAGTGAGCAGTTACGCTGTTTTTGTTGTCATAATTATTAAAAATCAAAAAAAACAGGATTCGATTGACAAATCTGGAAAGCATTCAGCTAGACTAGACCTGTCAACTGCTCCGGTTGTGCGAGAGTCCGGAACAGCCTGACCGCGTGTCTGCGTGGATGTGGTGAGGCTTCGCCAATGAGTTCATCGCTGATAATCACGGGCTGCACAACCACCGATGACACACAGCAGCCTGTCCTCGAGGGCACATTCGATGCGCCCAGTTCTGTATGGCTGTCAATGCCACTGTTGATGCCTGTTCATGTTCCGTACTTATGCAGAAGAATAGAAGAGTGCCACCAGCGAGTGAATGTTAGGAGCCTCTAGGATGGGTACACCCCGCGCACCAGCTCCAAGCAGCGGGCTGGCAACCACGGCGTTGTCAGCAACGCTCCACGACAGCTCCAAGCTTGCCTGGGCAGCTCCACACACATACATGCAAGTTGTCCAAGCGCAACCGCCAAGAGGAACCTCCCAGCAGCCCTGCAAGCACTTCTCCCAATTCTCAGAGCTGTAGAACGGCCTTGCTCAATCGGCTCGGAGGGACTTTCGACAGGCTCGGCTAGCACGAAGAACAGGTGCGCGGCGGTACCGCATGGACTATGTGGCTGAAGAAGGGCCTCAAGCCACCTAAAGCCTGGGTGGACAAGGGCTGCATGGCATGACAAGGCGCATTCGAACCCACTCGATCGGTTTCCAAAGACTGTGCGACGGACGGGCGTCATGACGGCCTGACCTGCCCCATGCAAACTTATCAAAATGCATGAGAAGTCGTTGTTTCACGCTCGCACAACATCACATGCCCTCTCCCCCTTCAGAACAGGAAAACCTGAAACCCTAGACCCTAAACCATCCTAAATCCGAAGTCCTAAACCCTAAAC